ACGTTTTATAGCATGGTAAAAACATGTTCAAATGTTGTTTTATAGCTTGGTAACACAAATGATTGAATGTTGTTTTATAGCCCGGTAACAAAAACATGTTTAAATGTTGTTTTATAGCCTGGTAAAAAACATGCTTAAATGTTGTTTTATAGCCCGGTAAAAAACACGTTTAATACCTATATGGTTTTACACTTATAAATATTTTAATAAAATCACATTTCAGTGTGTACGTTACTTACCCGTTCCGATTAATATTTATAACTAATATTTGATCTCCGTTAACAGCTTTGTTTGACAGTCCTTATTTTCTACATTCCTTTTATTCACGACAAAATGTCACAGATTATCAATACCTAAACACGCAATTTCAAGATGAACTAAGAGAACCAATCAAGTTTGTTTTAGAATATATTTTAGTCAACTGTGTTCAAATGTATTCACCCACTAAAGCGGAAGCGACTAATTAACCGTCACCCCCTTCAGCTTTAATTGACTTTTGATGGACGCCATCCGTTTCCGTTGTCTTCATATAGACTATAATGAAGATTAATTATATGTGTTCATGTAGTGAAACACTTCATTCCCATCGGCTAGAGACGTATATGATAAATCTTTCATCTAAGAATAAGTAATCATTTTGCACGAAAACTTTCAATGCGTTTCTAAACAACAATAGCTATTTTTGGATCTCAAGCCAGCTGGAGCTGCTGTGATTAAACATGGTATTCACAGTTTGGAAGCAAACGACTCGTTCTCTCAGACCAACTTCTAGACGTGCACGTGTCACGAGACTGACAATGGGAAGGCAATAATGAAACGTTAATAAGACCTGATCACATTTTGCTCATGTGTAATAAGGTGGTATTTTTTGGAAGTATGCAAAATGCTTCTGATGTCACAAGTAATGTACCAGTCGTATGAACGTTAGGTGGCCATGTGAGGTTAATACGTTACCTTTCAATAGTATTTATTTTATAAATAAATGTAGAAATGTGCCCTAAGTATTATATATTTCAAAACAAATGGAAATATCCAAACTTCTGTATTTGTTATGAAAAAATGCAATGTTTTGTTTTATTAATCTTAGAATACTTGCTTCATGCCAAGTGCTTTAAAAACATTTCCATGGATGAAGAGAAGTGCGGGCCAACTTACCGTCATACCCTTTATTTGTCAGAAAATGTGAAACAAGAAGGCAATGTCGAGGAGGAGTTAAGGAAAACATGTTGGTAAGTTAGAGTTATAATACTTGTTTTACCTTGTGACCACAAGACGTGATAACAATATATATACTTAATATTTTCATGAAGTTGTGAAATAAGACGTTTGTACAACTGTTATTACACGCTATATATTATGTCATAATCTTATCTTTTCTTGTCTATACAACTGTTACGTCTCCGTTTGTTAATTAACTTCCGGTAACTTCGTTCCGACGAAACTTTAGCGACACAAGTTCTTTACTTAATAAAACTGGTTTATTCTTTCCGAATACAACTTTACTGATACACTCAACTTCAACAATTGCGCTAAACAAACGCTATAACAACGAACGTGCTCAATAATACTTCTGACTGCAGATCAATTACTCACTGTCTACACACACATTACATTACTGCGTCACGTTGTCCCCCTCTTATATATACCCGCCTACCCCATCTT